GGCCAACCCTTTGGGGGTTTTTTTTTGGGGCCCCCCCAAAAAAAAAAATTTCCCGGTTCCCCCGTTTTTTTTTTTTTGCCCCCCTTTCCCTTAAATTTTTTTTTTCCCCCCCCCCTTTTTCCCTTTGTAAATGTAATTTTGGCCCCCCCCCCTTTTTCCCCCCCAAAAAGGGGAAAACTTTCCCCGGGGGGGGTCGGTTCCCCCCCCCCCCCCCCAAAGGTCAAAAGGTTCCGGCCGCCCGGTTTTGGGGTCCTTCCCCCCCCCCCCCCCCCCCGTGACTCTGCCTCGACCAGGCGGTCTTCGAGAGAAGCCTGGAGGAGAACCTGGAGGTTACCGGAGTGCTGAGCAGCCTGTGCCTGGCGGCCACTGCTGCCGAGGTGTCCCCGGTGCGTCGCCTCCTGTTGCTGCTGCTCTTCGACGGCACCCAGGATGCTCCTTTCCGCAGGTGAGTTGAGTCCTGACGTTCAACGAGGGGCTGCTGGCTGGCTGATCCTTCCGGGTTGGCACATCCTGAGGATGATTGATCTTCCGCGCTCTCGTTGTCTAGAAGTAAGATAGTGCTGCTCCAGGTACAGGTGGGAGGCCCTGTTTATTCGGCTGGCACAGACTGAATGGGCAATTCATTCTGTATTTGAAATTGTGCGGGTGTCCGGTATGCTGGCGGTCAATTCTCTGGGCACATACCGGCACTAAATAGGCGCCCCCCCACTGTACTGGATTTATCTACGTGGTTCACCTCCGCTTTCGAATTGGTACCGCGTTCACACAGTGTGAAGACGATGGCACGGCTGTCTGTAGGGTTCAGAAGTATCTCGATAATTGCAGGTATACGAATCCCTACATCTCACCTCCACACTTTGGTGTCATGCATGTCCTAGTCCAACGGACCGGTTGTTTGAGCTGCGTTGTCTTCGTTTCCCGATGTGGCAGCTCGGCCTCGTGCAACAGCTTGGCTAATTTGTTCCCATCCCTTACCCAGCCTTGTGGGGTCAACACCTTTTGTACCGAACGAACGCCGTCCGTGTCGCAGGCAATACAGTCGGTCCGGCCTGTTAGCGTCGGCAGGTCAAAAGGCGCCCACTACCGCTGAGGTTATATCGCTATCGGGTCCAACTCTGACGCCTATTTAGTCTTCTGCTGCTGCCCTCGGGACTCCTGTCCCCCCGTGTCAATCCTCTGTGTCTCATTTCGTTCTGTTTTTCTCATCAACTCCGCGTTGCTTTCCCTTGCCTCTCGCGGCGCCCCCCATTCGGCCTCCCCTTGCTCTGTCATAGCATGCGGCGGATCTTGGAAAAGCTGTGGGCCTCCGCCCAGGAGCGCGTCGCCTCCCTGCCGAACGCCCCGCGTCTGTTGGCGCAGGCCCGAGCCTCTCTCGGCATGCCCGCGATCGGCGATTCAGAAGAGACGGCCGATGTCGCCGGGGTGACGGGAACGGCGCGGGGGGGGAGGCAGGGCAGCCGGGGCATGAGAGAAGAGCTCAGCAATTCCAAAAGGCGGCAACAGGTTCAAGGCGGTGTAGATGGCGGCGGCGGTGTGGGTGTGAAGCGGGGGGCAGGGGACAGCGCGGAGGCGCAAGGTGGCGAGGGCCGCGCCACCGATTCCTCCACGCACAGCAGTGAGCAGCAGCAGCAGCAGCAGCAGCAGCAAGAGCCGCAATCGTCCACGTCCCACTTTTTGGGAACGTACGTGTTCTTGGAGGAGTTTCTCAAGGAGCTCTTCTGCGCACTGTCCGCCAAGAACGGCGTCGAGTCTGACGCGCAGGGGCTGTCCGAGTCTCACCGCCAGGGGTCGGCGGAGCTGCACGCCGGGATGCTGTCTGTTGACGGAGAGGTTAGCCCAAAGCCGCCCGGTGCGGGCCGGCGGGGGGGACGGGGGGGCGGGGGCGGCGGCGGGAAGGGGTTTAGTGGAGAGGGGGAGGCGGGGGGTGGTGGGC